CTTCTGTAAGAAGTTTAGGGGTTTAGGGGTTTAGGGTTTAGGGTTTAGGGTTTAGGGGTTTAGGGGTTTAGGGGTTTAGGGGTTTAGGGGTTTAGGGTTTAGGGTTTAGGGTTTAGGAAGTTTAGGGGTTTGGGGGTTCAGGGTTTACTGCAAACGCTGACATCTTGGGCATGAAAGCCAAACGGCCTGGGCTCAGGGAGCTGAGGTTCTTGTTGGGGTTTAGGGTTTAGGGTTTAGGGTTTAGGGTTTAGGGTTTAGGGTTTAGGGTTTAGGGTTTAGGGTTTAGGGTGATGGCCCGGAGCCTCGGTCGCCTAAGACGGAACATCGCAATGCAAGTCGGAATGCAGGAAGCCTAAAACCCAAAGCCCTAAAGCCTAAACCCCTAAACCCTAAACCCCTAAACCCTGAACCCTAAATCCTCAAGCCCAGGATAAATAGAAATGGTTTGTTCTAAGGTGGAGGGCCTTACAGATTCCTGCAGCGTTGCTCGGTTTTGCACAAAAACGAACATTCCAGAAACGAATGTGTGTCTGAAGGCTTGCTCCCTCGCAATTTCGTGCCCTAGCAGCCGCAATCTTCATAGGCAAAACCTAAGTAAGGGCAAAGCAAAAGGAAAGGTCAAAACCACACAAAACCAGACAAAGCTCAGGACCTGAACCCGAAAGGATTTCCATAAACCCTCAACATTAAACTCTGAGAGAGCTTCAAAAGCTGAGATCCTAAGCCCTGGAACCCGAAAGCTTAAGCTTCCGGAACCCCAGAGCCCTGAAACCAAAGTCCCTCAATCAATCAACGCGAAAATCCCGGAACCGAGGTTTAGGGTTTAGGGGTTTAGGGTTGAGGGTCTGCGGTTTAGGGGTTTAGGGTTTAGGGTTTAGGGGTCTAGGGTTTAGGGTTTAGGGGTTAGGGTTTAGGGTCTCCATGAACTCCTAACCCTTGCTTGGAGACCCAACGGCCAAGGGAAAGCCTCATGGGTGTGAAACTGTGGAAAGGGGGACCATGGCTTTCCCAGAAACCCTGGAAAACGTAAACCTTACTAAATCTTAAAGAGCCACGGTCAAGGGTTTAGGGTTTAGGGTTTTATGCCTAAACCCTTAACCAAGCAGCCCAGAGGCGTCGGCTCGACTAATCAGCGCGCTGAATGCGCTCTCCAAGGCCACGGCTTGTGTCTGAGAGACAAATTTAGGTCAAAAAATTAGATGTGGCTGCTTCGAGTTCAACCGGCTGTCTCTTTTCTATATTCGATAAAAAGTTGTTGCTTTGTAGTGTATTCTATTTTATTGTGTCCCATTGTATTGCTTTATGGTAAATGTTGTATACATGTATCTTACTTCGTGTGCGTATATGTGTACAGTAAATGTCGGGTAGTTACATCGCATGTCCCATACTGCTGTGTGAACTGTCGGTATAGCATTCTGTATGCAAGCTGTCGTAGTATATTCGCACCGGTATACAGTTTGCCCTAGCTGGCTGCTTTACTACTCTATCGTCTTGTCACTGGGTTGCACGGCTTTGCAACTTTTGTTGTTGCAGAGCACGTTTTCGCATCGTACTGTCTGCATGGTTGTATATGTGATCAGGCCTTGCCGTAACAAAATCTTTATACATTGCCTGAAGGTCGCGGTATTGTTTGATGCTCAGTTGGTTGTTCTACAACATGCTGTTTGGGATTTCCCGTGTTTGTTTCTTACAATCTTATTTTGTTCATCTGTGGTGTTGTTCGAATGTTGTTCTGGTGTTGCGACGTCGTGCTCGCGCTCTACTAGAGCATGCGTCGCTGTCGCATTCTGTTGCTGTACCTGTGTGTTACTCTACTTTGGCTTGATAGTGTCTTCGCGCACTGATCAGGTACTTTCAGACATGCAGCCGCTTTTGATCTTTGAGAGTTTCTGTACGTCATCCGTAGGATATTCTGTCAGCTTGTTATCTAGTTATATTTGCACCTAGCTTTTGCTGAGCTAACCGCTCACCGTTTGGGTCATATGGCTACGACACCTTCATATTGTTGCAGAATGCTATTTCGCCAGTACATCGCTGTTGAATGCAGTTGCGACAGTTTTGCTCCCTGGTTTGCGCAGTGTTCTTCGGCTGTTTGATCATCTTTGATGTGTCCGACATTGGCGGGTTCTCTGAAGGCATGGTCTGCATACCACCATCTGGGCGCACGTTCAAAGCAGCCCTTCATATAAGTCGCGATGTTGATCTCTTCAACAACGCTTTCGAAGCAGGTGCAGCACCCTTCAACGGAAAAGATCCAAACTGGTATCATGCCTTAAACTCCCAGGCACCGCGCAATCACTGCCATTTCGGATTCCCGAATCCCAGCTGTACAACCGTTTGAGAGAGAATCCTAAACCCCAATCCCAAACCCTGAATGGAATCCTAACCCCGAAACCCTGAATGGAATCCCCAACCCTAAGCATTAAGCCCTGAATGGAATCCGAAACCCAAACCCTGAATGGAATCCTAAGACCCTAAACCCTGAATGGAATCCTAAACCCTGAAAACCCTAAGCACTTACCCAAGACCCACTGGAGTCTTCTCGAGGAGCCCGTGGGGAGTGTCGAGACGAAGCGCCGCGAGGCACATGTGCCGAGACACTCGGACAGGCCAATGCCAATACCCAGTTCAGGAGTAGAGCTACATATATATATATATATGTATATGTATCTGTATATATATATATATATACACATGTTAATATATGTGTATATATATATATATACATATATGTATCTAT